TCATCCCTGCCACCATGACCAAAGGTTTAACCATCCTCTCCAACAGCCATAATCCATACACAGCTCACACACACTTCACTACCAGATTTCATGGTTTAGGGCCCTAATAAAGGGGAATGTCAGCAGATTTCCTCTTGTAAGAAAGGGAATCATTTCTTTAGGATAATTTAAAGAAATGTGTCCCTTTCTTCCAATGTGAAATTGTAAGAAACAATAAATTATTGAAGAAAATACTGGTTCAATATTCAATTCAATATTGAAAAATACAGAAGAAACAATACCCTTATTTGTATCATGCAAAAGGTAAAACACTGTCTACCAGACATCTCTGAGAAAAGCTCCCTCTGTAGAGAAAGAGAACTGGAATTCAACACAGCTCCTGAAGTTATCCCACAATAGCCAATGGAAATATCAGGGAAGTAAAAGAGCATCCGTTCCTCGAGGCTTGCAGAGAAGGGGCTGAGACAACCACCTTCACCCTCATCCAGTGTTTCTCAGAGACAACTTGGAACCTAAGAGAGGTACAGCATGAGGTGGTTGGGAAAACTGTATTTCCACCCCCAGCAAGCTGCAGCAGCCCTAAGAGGTTCCAATTCATCCAGGGGACAATGAGTTTTGCAATTAAAATATGTGTAGATGGAACAGGCACTAAGTAAAGATGGTTTACAAGAAGATTGCTAGAAATCAGTTCATGCTGATGTGACACAGCCACCTCTGCAATGAAACGTAACACTTCTGTGGAAGTTTTTAACAGTTCACATACCAGAGCCCAAAACACAGTCCACAATACAAATTTAGACAGGTTTTGGGGAGCTTGTTACTTTACTTGTTCAAGTTACAAAAATAAATGTTTCCCTTGTAATCATACCAGAGCTTGCCTTGTCCTTATTTTTGTAATATAATTCTCCTAGCAAAGAAAATTGTATATAATTTACTCTTCTGAAATTCAGGCCAAGGTTCAAAGTAATCAACATTTAGATTAGTGGCAAAATGTGTTAATGGGCAATTTGCAGCTATTTTATTCTGCTTTACATTTGGAGTAATTTCTTGTTTCTCAGAAAGGCAGACTGTTTTAAAGAGCATAAATTTAGGGGGAAAAAAGCCAAGGCTGTTGTTCACTTCAGGTTTTTAGCAAGTGCCAAGTTTCTGCACTGAAATTGTACCTGAACTCTATCATCACCTCCACTTCTCTTTAGCAATTACTGCTGCTGTGACATGGAAGACACCTTTCCTCTGCTGAAGTAAGGATCACTGCAAGCACCATCAGCCTTCACATACTGCACATCAGTCAGGCTTTCCTTCCCACTTCCTTCAATTACTGAACATCAACGTTATTTTGTGAGGACTCGCCTGTAGAGGCTTTCACACTTCACTGCCTCAACACTGAGCAAGGGTGGGATTTCAGAAATCCAATGCAGCTCTTTCTACTAGGAACTGTGCACCTGCATACACAAGTGAGAAAAAGGAGGAAAACAGCCTAAAAACCAATTCATGTTCTTCACGTGAGGTGGGCCAGAACTTCAGGGGTTAGTGAGGTTCTGAATACCATTGCCACTCACAGAAATGATCAATTTCCCGCCAGGCTCCTAAGGCAATCCTTCCCACGTGTCTCAGCCATTATTCACTACTTACACACGTAAGATTCAAAAGGGAACATGTAAGGACACATTACTGCATTTTTTCAAATTCCTCATAGCTTTATTATTGAAAAAAATACTTCACTACTGAGTCAAACTGGGACAAAATTTTGGCATCTCTTTGAATTCTTTCTATTTAGTATTGTATTTTTACACCTGAAAAGACAGAAATTGTAGCAATGCGTCATTAAAAATTTGATTTACTCATCTCAAGATATTTTGAGCATACATTTTATACTACTACTGTATTTTTGGAACAGTTACTCAGGCCCACCACGGTACAGGAATCAGCATATAAAGACTTCAAACGCTGCAAAGTATTTTTAATTTTCTTTTGAACAATATGCTAGAATTCCCTGTTAACAATAGCCAAAAGAAGTCCTTAAGGGATTCTTTCAGACAAACATCAGCCTATTTTTAGAAAGACTATATAACAAAGCTTGTAAAAGCCATCTTCAGCATTAATTCATAACTGAATGAAAATGTTTTGCATACTGCAATATTTGATGTACGAAGCCAGATTACATCAGCAAGTCTTGCTGAACACTGGGTAATTGTTTAATTGCTAAATATAAGGATGAGATTTACTTTTTTTTCCTGCTACTTTGACTACTTTTACCTGTTATGTGTAAAGGGGACCTACATGTGCATACGGATGCAAGGACTGTTGGTGGAATAATGGAGTTTCTTTGGCATGATTATATTGCATAAATAAGTGTTTGGTTTTCACAGAGGTTGCTGAAGAGGTTTAGATAAAGAAATGTGTGCAACTCTATACAACAGTTACAATAAGAAAACACACGAGAACATTGAAAGGAATTAAGCTGTATCAGCTATGTGCATTTTCTGAGTTTACTTGTTTATAGTCTTAATTTTGTCTGAAGCACTCTAAAATGATTAAAGGCAGGTGGGCAGGAAGTCAATTTGACAGAAGACTCAGTACACAGATTTTGTGTACAAAATCTCTTCTCAATGTTTTCCTCCTGCCAGACTTCCTCCAGCTGTAACACGAGTCCTGCAGCTGCAACACTGAGTCTGAGTTAACTGCACAGCTCATTGCACCACCAATTAAAGGTGAAAGAATAAGCACTAACACAGGGAGACATTTCTCACAGTACATCTACATACTGAATCCAGATCTATTACAATTTTTAAAGCATTTTTTACAACCAGGTACCTGATTCCAGTCTCAGCCACACACCTCAGCAGAAATGTAAGACAATTCTTCATTCCCTCTGTCTTTTTACAAAAGAGTTAAATGCGAGCTGGTATGTACACTCAGCTTGCATATTTCTAGAACCACGTGGGTGAGCTTTGCAAATGGTATTGTTCCTTCCACATCTGGGTGGTTGAAATGTCTGAAATGTCACTTATTAAAAAAAAAAAAAAAAAAAAAAAAAAAAAAAAAAGAATAAAAGTAGTGACACATTCTCAGCTGGCATCCAATCATACTGATACATGAAATAAGCTGTGAATCTGCAAAAGGATAGACTGGAATTTAAAAATTCAAATCATCCTGTGGGGTTCAAAGAAGCAGATAAAGTCAAATACTGATGTAGACATTTGCTCCATCCACTTAAAGAAAAAAATTTTTTTCTCCACTTAAAATTGTCTCCTTCCTTTCAGACAGCTCCAAAATCAGAGTAAATACCAGAGCCAACAAAACCACTGCTCTGTAATTTCAAGAAAAAAAAGGTTCAGAAATTCTAGGTCCAAAAATAAAGTGTCTGTAGTCATGCAATTAGGAGCATGAGAATTTAAGTTAGGACAGTAAGAACAAAAACATGCAAACATTCTGCTTGATCAGCTGGTGACTTGGCTATTTAATGTGTCTTTTGTTTTAGATTTAGGATTAAGTATTCATTTTAAACAGCTAATCTAAGGAAGCATCCTTGCTGGTTCAGTGTTATCCTAGAAGTGGGGAGGGGGTCATGGCTAAAGGCTGTCCTAAAGGATCAGCATCAGGATTTGTTAAAACAAAAACTTTTGTCTTGTGGAGCAGAATCAAATCCCAAATACTATGCACCGGGTGTTGGCAATTGCAGACTGAACAACATTGACACTTCTGTGCTCATCAGCTTCCCCAGGACTCCCCCTCTCCTAGATCTAATTCAGACAAGGTTTTCCTGCCATGTTTGAAGGTTTAAAATAAATTTGAAAATTTAGACTATAGAAGTTGTTAACATTTGAGCATCTATGGTCCCCGCTTTCGAAAAGGCTCCAACAGTTGCTATTCCATCAGTCACACACCTCTTTAGACTTTTCCAGCTACCAAAGTGAAATTTTTGTTCAAAAAATTTCTTCTTCAGAAAACGCACTTCATCAATTCATTCAGTCTAATAAAAGCATTTCTTGTATTACTCACATATGCTTGTGTAACAGCCTTCTTAAGCCTTAAGAATACAAGCTTTGGCCTTAGTTATTCAAGACAACGATGTTCTTCTGTCATGTTCTGTTTAAGGAGTAATAAAAACATCTAAAGGGCAAATTTTTCAAGAGCCAAAGAAGGCAAACCCTCCCACTCCCCATTGGTTTACTTGATCATCACGCTTTATAATAAAGGCTGTAGGACATCAAAAGGAAACACACCCCACTATGTACACTTATCTGAAAGCTAGGGGTATATAAAATGAAAACAAAGCATGGCAGGAAATTATTTCCTCCTGCTTGTTTGGCAGGCAAGCCTCCCCCACTGCAGGAGCAGCAGGATCCACAAAACAGAGGGCCCACAAGAAACAACCTGCACCTTTTACAGGGATGTCTTAAGCAACATCCTCTCTCAGGTCACCTGCCATTATATATATATTACGATTATATGATATGAACATATCGTATGCAAAAGATACACAGCATCTTTTCACAGGCAATTAAATAGGCACATCTTCATGAGTTCTGAATGCTGTTGCCCACTAAGTTTCACTTTCATTACCACTCAGGACACTGCTACAATCTCAGACTTCCTGACAAGACTTCAGAGTCGGTGATTTCTAGACCACAGTCACCCAGAAGGAAGTGGGCTGGGCTGGCCAAGAGCTCTCTCTAGAAAGCTTGGAGCATGCATGTTCTGATAAACTCTTTGGCTTTCCAACAGATAAAACCCAATTGCGTATCTTTTTCTTATTAAAAAAACCTGAGCAGCTAGAGGGTTGGGTTTTTGTTGTTTTTTTTTTTACTCTAAGAACAACTTATGTAAGAGTAAGTCAGTCAGCAACATACAAACAGGTCAGGCTGTATTCAAAAGACAATGTGTGCTATCGTGCACCCACACAGAGACAGAAAAACTGACAGAGCCAATTGAGTTACAGTTAACATTTCCTTTATTTCATATAAGAATTCCTGAACTGAATGAAGAGTGATATTTTGGCCCATACTGCTAGACTAGATAAATCCTTTAAGTATGCGGTGCCACAAGTGTACACAGTACTATAATAGCAAAAAAAAAAAAGACAGCCTGGGACAAGTTTCATTTTTATTATTAGCAGGAGTTAGACGTTTCAGATAAGGATATTATGCATTTCTGAATTTGCCTGGAAAGTTAATTCAAACTATGAGAACATTTTAAAACAGTATAAAATTGCCTACAGATACTCATGATACTTTGGTAGGGGATGCGGAATAAAAACCTACATCATGTAACATTCAGTTAACAGATTCTCTGCACTCTGAAGCCTAAGTAACATACAAGAGGAGAATAAGTACATAAGAAACTTAGTTTTCTACACAGAATGTGCCGTCAAAGAACAAAAGTGAAGCTTAGAACTTTTTTCCACGTGAAAATAGAACCACTGTAACAAAACTGTATGGTCTGGTGGGTGATGAAGGTCATGTAAAATGTTACAGGCTTTAGCAGAGGTCCAAGCAAGGAACAAGTCCAACTACTTGCAGTGTTCCATAAAAATGTACCCTTGACTGCTTATTGGTGCTTTCAAATGGTAAAAAAAATTCACAGGCATACAGAAACAAACACAGGAAACAACTGTCTGCTAAGTCACAGGATGTAAGGCTACACTATATACCAACTTATTCTTAAGCAATGTTTAGAAGACAGAATTATATTTGCAGGAAGTTTGAATAAAATGCTAGAAGCACAGTGATTTTGTTTAACAACCTGCAAGGTCAACTGCAACCGCTTTTTCTTTAGGTCAGTAGTTTGTTTAAAATAACATGAATTCCCTTCTTCCTTCCTGTTCTTAGGATCAAAAAGTCAGTTATTTTCACCTTCAGTAAGAGTTTTTAGTTGCATACTCCAGGACTAGACTCATACTAGACTCCAGGGTTGATAAATGGAGCTAATGTACTTTTTGAGTTGCAAGCTGTGCATGTTTCATGACTGTCTCCTCAAGCAAACACCTTACCTTTTAAGAGCTGTATGTGTTTTCTCCTCTGTGTATACATGCTAATGCCCATTAAAAATGCAGATAAATGAAATCTGTCTCAAATCAGTAATGAGAAAAACCCATGGTTTAATATGCAGAAAAAGTGCATTAAGGCTTGAATTATTATAATTTGCATTGTTAGGCCTTGGAAACACAAGAATTTGTAGCTATAACGAGGAACTGAGCTTGTTTTGACACTGGGTGTGTTACAGAAGGAAGAAAGAATTCCTCTAAGGAAGATGTTATGAAATTAAAATAAAAGCACCTCTTCAAATCTTTCCCAGGCTTCTTTAAGGTGCCATCTGCTGGTCAGCTCAGACTTGAGGCTGTGATGAATGACAGACTGGCTAACTTAGAGATTATTACATATGCTTTATTTTGTCCTCTCTTAGGAAAAGATTACAGTTTCTTTGATAAAGTTTGTAAGTAGTACCTATGATCTGCATGATACTTTGACACTTATCTGCTGTCAGCAAATTCATCCAGTTTAATGAAGCCAGACAATAATCACAAAAATTGATTGAAAAGCTAAAGCAGATATGCTTCATGCAAACACACCAAGTGTGCCAATAATCCAGCAGTAATGGTAAAGTCTTTTTTATTTATTAAAAAAATACTGATTACACTCTTACTGGCACCTACTACTTTACTGCGGGGTGGAGGGCCAAGGTAAAAAAAGAAATTAAAATACCTGCATCTCTTCTCACAAATATGTGCTTTTGGATGCTTACACCAAGTCTTACATAGCCAGCAAAAAACTACTCCGAGCTTTTGCAGACTCCAAAGTGTTGAATATCTTTTTCTCATCTGGCCCTACCCATTGCTCAATAATAATTATATTTCAGCAAAATCATTTCACATAAGCGGCTTGTGTCAAGTGCCTAGAAGTAAAATTATTTTGTTTCAAAATTAAATGCAGGTATGAAATTCATTTATTCCTGTATAAACACTTTACTGCTTCTGTACACCCATCTTAAAACAACTTCAAAGCCCAATTTTTTGAAGGGAGTGAACCTTTAACCTCTAATATGTCACATCTATAAATCTGTTTGAACAAGTCCACACTCCCACTCTCATCTCCCTCCCAAAGTAATTTATCTATTGAAAACTTGGCCTTGCTCGATTTTATAGTATTTTGAATAAACCCCATTTAATAACTATCCCCTAATAACAACAAAAAGCATTCAAAATATTTTTTAAAACGTCAAATAAGATGCATCTTTCAAACAAGAAAGAACTGAGCACATCTTTCCTAGAACCTGGTTTTAAAGGACAGACATTAAAGGGGTGTGTAACTAACAACAGTTCTTGACAAGTAACAGTCACATCCAGGTTCTATTCTGGAACAAACTGTTCACAAAGAGTATGGGAGAAAGAAAAAGGAGAGGGAGAAAAAAAAGAACAGAATCCTCATATATACACCTTGTGAAGATGTATGTGCTTGTAGAATACAGAGAGTTTTTCCTATATTTGTTAAGAGAGCACCTAAACCAACACTTAGAAGTATTATAGTGAACACAGGAATGTGAAAGTTAATCAATAAATGTATTTCAAGTTGAGAAGAATTACATCCTACTCAATTAGCTGTGCAAGGCTTTCATCATTACCTGACAGTGTTTATTTTTAAAAAACTTTCCCTTAATACTGGAAAGTTTCTCTCCAGATGAATGCCCTCAGGACACACACATATTCAGCTGTTTAGACAAGTGCTAATAAAAAATACAAAAGGCGAAAAAGTTTTTAAGAGCCACCCACACAATATAGAATTTCTGTCTTTCCTTGTTTTGCAGAGGAGGTCAGTATTAATTTCTGAAACACATGCCTGATATTTTTGTTTTATTTAAAGGCAAAAGTATATCTAATATAGGAAACAAACTGGGCATAATCCTTAGTTGGCCCAAGTTCAGGTCAACATAGCTTTAACCAATACAAGGATTCAGTCCATTAATCTACTTTCCCCTGCACCCAGTCTCCCAAAATTATTTAACAAGGTGTGTTTTCTGTTATGACGTTTGGGACTTTTTTTCTATATCTTAACCCATTGAAAACAATTAATTCACTTTCTAGTTTCTGTATCTGTGTTCTGTGAGCAGTATATGAAGTTAATTTTTCTCAGATCATTTACTGTTTAGCAGTAGCTGAGTAAATTAGTGCTAAGTTTTAGAATTTCCATCTCAACCATATGTAAGATATAACCATATCCTTTCTTAAATGTGAAGCATTTTATGTTACAACCCAAAATCCTACAAAAAAGTGTCTTTTGTTAAGAAAGACTTCTGGATAATTAATTTTATAATCATAATCTCAAGAGAAGAATCTTTCTCCTGAGTGCACGATATTTAGAGATGCTTATTTTGAGTCAAAACCCTCCAGATTTTTCCTTAAACTAGTTGGTTGAATACCGGGTCCCAAATAGACCATTACACAGCATGCCCCATCAGCAAAGCATATCCAGAAGAAGCTGGTATGCTAAAAGATGGGAGTTTCTCAATACAGAAAACAAAGTATTACTTTACTTGGCTGCTGCTATGGACATTATTTCCTGTGGGACCTGCTTTACTTGTTTAACTGGGGTACAGGAGGGAGCATTTATTGAGGTTTTTTTTTAATTAAAATGTTTTTCCAGTTACAGTTAAGATATACAGCCATTAACATGCAATCTTTTTTCCCTACCCAAAGGTAAACTGTTTACTGAACATTGCCTAGATATTTAAACTGCATTCATTATAGCACCTCATGCATTTGTTAGGGGAGATGAAAGTCTCTAGGAGAGCTGGAAGCCCTGTTCCCTTGTTAGCAGGCAAGTATTTTCTCTACAGTTTTTGTAACACAAACTGGGTGAAGCTGTTTGTCTGTGGATATTTTACTAAATCCTACCAACTACAGATCCAAACCCATCTGCAAAACAGCATGCATACTTCACCCTCATGCTGCCACTCTTTGGCTGATTGGTTTTAACAGTGTAGATGACTTGGGGAATGGCTTAATGGATTGTATGAATACATTTCTGATACATACATTTCATTTATTGTATGTCAACTGAGAAGAATTACAGTTCCAAATATGCAGAGCTAAGACTATGATTAGCAAGTATCAAAAAAGATACATCCTTCACTGTCTGTTTAACTCTATTGGGGTTTGAGCTATTTGCATCACAGAGAAATAGCACTAAAACAGCCTGAAAACTAATTTGAGTTAAAAGGGACTCTGCTGAGAAGACTGTCCAGTTCTAGATCAAACAGAGGATTAGGCAATTTGCTTCGATATAAAAGCTATGGCAACATGACAATATTGAGTTACATAATGTAACTAATGTAGTACACTTACATAAAAATCTGTAGAAGAAAATACAGAACACACTGGCATTTTACTTTGCCTCTAATAGAAGGTTACAATTCTAAAACGTTGTTGGTAAATACATTAAAAACCACAATAATATCTCGAAGTCCCCAAATCAGACGTTCGTGTTACAATAAATGATTTGCAATGCACACTTTAACAGGTTTCACAGAGGCCAAAACTGTAACTTGTCTAGAGCACCAACGTTAGAGAATTTGCCTTTGATTTTTGCTTTTCTTTAAAAACAAGATTCACACCTGATAATTTCTGTAATTAAATGGCTGTGTGCAAACACCACTTTTTTTTTACCTCATTCTCAGTTAAGGAAGCTGAAGGAGATGAACTCTTGCTAAAAGCAAGAGTTGAAGATTCTGCTGCTGAAGCCCGATTTCGCTTCTTCAGAGGTTTACATGCATCAGACAGATTTTTCGTTGCTGTAAAATAATTTTGGTTTACAAAGTGAAGTTTGGAACTTTAAAATGTTATCTCCCTGAAGCCATTTAAAATATTCCTTCAGATACAGGAAGGAATTATTTAGGTATGTCTTCTGGGCACTTATATAGGACTGACTGAGCAAACACAAAGCTTCTGAAGCCATGTGTTCTGGCTTGATTTTAAAATTAAAGGTTTCCATTAATCAAACACGTGCTAAAAAATGTTTTGCCAATTTTTTATCATCTCATTTCTATTAAAATCAAAGTATCTTGTGACTTAAGACCTCTTTAAAGCAGAGGTAACAGTTAGGCCTAAATGAGCTCATCACAATCTGAGTACCACTAACACTCCGTTAAGAGAAAATTTATATACAGGAGCCAAGTACCACACATTAGCTATGGCACATCACCACTTCTACACCGTGCAGGACTTGCTGAAGCTCGCTTCTCTTTGGCAAATCATTGTAACACCTGAAGAGACATGCTCTGATAGCAGTTACCTTAAACTTGAGCATCATTAACAAGCCTGACTTTGGCGTTTTGATCCAAGGTTCTACGGAATTCCCTCTCGTGCTCCACACTGCCTCCCATCAAGCACCATTTCAAAGGACTAAAACCCCAAAGTACCTGATGACACTGACAGCCACTGCACCTGTTTTACTGGGCCAGTGCAGTGGGCAAACAGTGGGGAGCAGCAGGGTTTGTTCCCTGCTCGCCGAGATCTCCAGCTTTAATCTGGTGCCATCACACGGGGAACTTGTGAACTGCTGCTCTCAATCAGCAAGGCACAATTTCAGTCCAGGATTGAGCTCCAGGAGGGCAGTGAAGGAACAGGGCTCCCCCCCAGCTGTGGCACAGTGCCTGCAACTGCTCACTGAGTCAGCAGAATTTAGCTGGCTGCCTCAGATAACCTGGGCATTTTAAAATTATTTAATTGAAAAAGTTACATTAAAACTTATTCTGACCACATTACCTGACTGGTTCTTTTGTGAAGAGGAGGTTTCTGTGACCTTAGAAGAGTTTGTTTTTGCTGTTTTGTCATTGCTTGTCTCCCTCTGTCACAAAAAAAAATATGAAAAAATAAAAAAACTCCTAATTTATGAGTGGTTGGATACAACTGGCAATTAGTTCTGGATTTATGTTATTAAAAAGAAAGTGTCTTTACAAATATTTGAATGGTACTGTAGTTAAACTAGCCCCACTTAAGTGATTTTTAAAACTCATTTACAGCACAGGGTACAAACCCAAAAACAAGTGAGAAATATTAAGGAACACAGTACTTCAGCATCCCACTTATCCATCCCAAATTCAGCATATCAAAAGTGGAAATGCTAAATGAACACCAAACTTGTAAATTATCCTTACTACTCTTTGTACAAACTGGTCAAATTAAAACCTTTAATTATCAAAGGTGAATTGCAGAATTAGTATAAAAATTTGAGAGTAAACCCTGTGCAGAACTCTAAGTCTCAGAGAGGCTTGCTCCCAACTCCACAACTTATAGCAGTGCCATTTTTTAAATTACTATGGTTAAGATTGTTTCAGCATTTCCAAAATAAAATCACTATTTTCAAGGGAGAATAAACAGCACCTAAATTTGCCCCATATTGAGAATTCCTGACCAAAAGTTTAGGCCAAAAACTGGGTAAGTTTTTGTCAAATCTTGGTCAAAATTAAGACTCTGTTCCTTACACATGCCATTATTTTTTTCCATGTTACAAATTCATTCGAATTACTAAAACTGTAGCCTAGAACACTTAACCCTGACACATGCTCACCTGATTAATAAGCACAACTCTACTGAACAGAAAGCTTTATGCACATTTCCAATGCTTTACATGTTTTTTCAGTCCTCATCTGACAAGTTTTCCTGAAGAAAGATGTGCAGGTGAACACCTCAAATCAGAGAACTGATTTCCTTTGTAAAAAACACAGGAATGGCTGCAGATGTGCAACGCTGTGCTTTTACTGAGCTCTAAGCATCCTAAGCTGTCCTACCACCAATGCCACCAGAGGCTCTCAGTATCCATTTTCTAAGATTACTGTTACACTTCTGGGTAAAAATCAAAGAAAAGAGAGTCTCAAGAGGATGGTGCCAGACTCTTCTCCATGGTGTGCAATGACAAGACATTGAGTAATGTCTTGCCATAAACTAAAACACACAAAGTTCCACCTCAACGTGAGGAAGATTTCTTTACTTCGGGGTGGCAGAGCATTGGAAGAGCTGCCCACAGAGGTCGTGGAGTCTCCATCTCTGGAGACATTCCAAACCCACCTGGACACATTCCTGTGTAACCTGCTCTAGATGACCCTGTCTTGGCAGGGGGATTGGACTGGATGATTTCCAGAGGCCCCTTCCAATCCTAAGGATTCTGTGATTCTGTAAAAATGTACAGGATAGTTCATTCTTAAATTTAAAGCACACTTTACAGAACCCCCGTTTTGTTAATGTGCATTTTATATACATCACCAAAGCAACAATGAACAAACTGGTTTTTCAAAACTTCCATATGGGTACTTATAGCTTGGTTACTTTATATGTAAACATTGATTTTGTTATTGTATATAATAAGAATTAAGGACAAAGGGAGAGTATAACCCACAACTCTTGTGCAAGAAGTAAAATGTCATGAAATTAAAGCTCCTCCTATCCAAAATGATTGCAATTAAAGCCTGCAGGTAAACTGGGAATAGCAGAAAGGAGGTGTATGGTTAGTGATTGCTTTTTTGAATCATTACATAGATGTTTTCACTGTCTTTCACTGAAACGTTCTACCAAGCAGCAGCACATACAGCTGGAAGTGCCTTGGGATTGTGAAGACAGGAAAAAGACTAAGACAGAATTTCTAAAACAAACTGCAAACCATATCTGACCTTTCTGTGGAGCACAAACCCTGCTACATGCATTTAGAGTTTCCAAACTACCTAATATTTAGATACATCAAACCTCTTGTAAGCACTTCTGATAAACTGACTAGAGAGAGAATGTTTTTAAAATGCACATTATAAAGCCAGTGCCATTAGTGCTATCAATATTATGGGAATCATTCACCTCATTTGGTTATTTATTTTCCTGCTGGTATATTCACATGTGTGTCACAGCACCAAAGATACCAGAACCTCCCATGCATGAACTATACTGCAACCACCTTTCATCCTGCTTCTGAGAATGTAGGCTAATTGTAGTGTCCAAATGCTGGTGGGACAGGAAAGTACCTTTAGAACTGTCAAAACAAGGACTTTACAGGAGGAATTAATTATATTAAGTAAACCTCATTATTCCATGTATCTAGTGTATTATAGAGTATTATTAGACAAGTTTAAAAAGGTTTGAAAAACTACTCCTAGAAAGACGCATTAATATGCAATGACTAACCCATTCCAGCAAGTAGTGCAAAAACCAGGTTTGGCCCTTCTTTTTGCAAAGGTAACAGCATTAAGAATTATCTGTCCCTTGCTGACTGGCTCATTAAGCCTATTTTGAAATTGTATTTTTTTTATATATATTAAACTCTAAAACAAGTTGTCTTAATATCTACAATATCAACAGAAGTAGCAAAATAACCAGCCCATCAAATAAATGACACCTGACACCTACAAATAAGACCTCCACAATTCAATTAAAAAAATAAGTCTACCGCTTTTCCTTCTATGAGGTTGTTTCATTTGATTGCAGTACCACTGGAGTTCTGAGCTTAAGTCTATGGTACTCACACTACAGTATGATACTGCAATAACATACCTGAACATATGTGTGAGCTAAGCTTTCCACACAAGTAAAACCCATGAAATTCACATGCTCTACATACATTAGAGCATGAAATTCACATGCTCTAAAACTGTGCCTCAGTCTCCACAAGATTTCTGCTGTCCACAGACATAGTGACCTATGTGAGGAAAATTCTCATTCTCACAACTAAACTAACCAGAAAAGGAGCCTATGATTTGTGTGATAAATATACTTTTACTGTATAAATATAAATTTACTGCAGTCTCCTAACCCAAGAAAAGGGTCAGCATGCCACTCTAAAATGTCCTGTAGCCTTCCAGTTCATGAAAAGTAGTTTTCCTGTTTTGCTTTACTTCCTTTCCTCTCTTCTGACTTCTGTCTAAAGTAACTATTGACTAAAGGTTATTTCTTTTACATCCTGGTAAAACTAACTCCAAATCAGGAGGAAATAAAAAGAACTACAGAGCATAACACAGAGAGGTCATGCCTCCCTCTGCACACTCCTTTGGGAAACAGTTTAAGTAGCAAGTGGGACTTGTCATACCTCCATCCTCCAAACCAAAGGAAAAAACCCCATAGTGGTAAGGTCAAATGTATCTCTGAATATTGACAAGAGTATGATATATGGACATTTCTTTTTTAATCCTGAAAATGGAAATGCTGACAAACTTAACTACAGCAATGTGACTGGTGCTGCTATAAATCAACCCCAACAAACCAACAATATAATTACCTTCCGATTATTCTGCTTATCCATCCTGAGTCTTTTCCTAGGTGCTTCCTGAACTTCAAAATCTTCTGTAGGCTCCTTTGTCCTCTTTTTTTGGTTTCTTTTATTTCCATGTAAATTACCTTGGGATGGGGGGATGGGGGAAACTCACATGAAAAATAATCTAAAACCCACTTTGAAATTATTTGAACTGATCTAGTTACTTAAGGTACTTTTCTTTTAGTCATTATTTTTAAAACATGGTTAAACATTAACACAGTTTGATGACCTCTTTTTAGGGACTGGTTTCTGGTGCTGAAGACTTACTCTAGAACAAATGCAAATCAACTGCTTAAAACTAAAGTTATTTTACAAAGATGAGGCTACCTATACAAGCACTAGTTTAAGATCTGAATGTTACTGCCCAGCATTTATTTCATATCATCAGGCTGCATGTGGTTATCTATACAGCTTTTAACTCTCCTGCCACTTTGTAACTGTGTCTTACCACTAGAATTACTTTCTAACTCTCCTCCTTAAGCCTACTTTAAGTTCTCCAAACAATACAGATGAAGATACTGGTGACATCTATTAAGGGGCCTCTGAAAAAGACATCACCAATTGTACAGATTAATTCTCTTTCTGGTATGGCAATTCCAGACTGTAACAAGCTGACTGTATTTTACATGAGACCATAAGATCCCTTGCCTTTATGAACCAGAATCCTATGAACAGAACCACGCTGGCCATTTTAGACCAGAAAGTTATTCATGTATTTAGATGGTTGTTCACTGTAAAGTTCAAGCAGGTGCTAAATACAAAAGGTCAGTGAGTAATCTACATACCCCTGCCACAGGTTCCACTATTGTCTGCACCTCAAAAAGAAAGATGAAGGTTTGGGAAGTGGTCTGTTTCATCAAGATGAAATGACAACATAATTACACTCTCCAGTACTCTCTAGTTTATGAAGCTACAGAGTATTATTCCTATGAAAATTGCAAGCTCCAGGGACACAAATATGTAAACTGAAAATTGCCCTACAGCTACAAGCATTCTATTCCAGTGGGAACAAATATCTGTAAATATTAAAAATATAGCAACTTGAAAACAGGGATCATTTTCAAATTAATGTTCTTATCTAAACAATCTAGGACATATTCTATGATCAAACCGAATCCACAAAGCAGACTGAAATGGCTCCAGGAGAACCTGCTACTTACAAAAAGCCAGCAAAAGAAATCCCACAACATTCTTCCAAGTTTAAGATAAGAGGATTTAAGATGGGGAACAAGTGAACTGACATATTTTCATCTGCAGATAACTATAAATGTACACAATATATGTACTAGAAACACCTGGTACAGGTACAATTTCAATTACATTTCTTGCAATATGACACTGAGGAAGGTGAACAAAATTCAGCACTACAGTGTTAAGATATTTAATTCGGGATCCATTAAAGTTCTAACGTCAAGGAAGACAACATCTGAGATAAAATAAAGAGATTATGATACGTGGGCAATTACATTAAAAAAATACACTCAATAGCTACTTATAATGATGAGCTATTTGCACACAACACAAATTTCAATTACTTCTGGATCTTGATCTCCTTTTAGGTGAGTCTTGAAACACTTTACGTTTGGCCTCTCCAATATTCTTCAATGATGAACCTTGAGAGATACAGAATGTGTTTTTTTTTTAAACTGATATCCAAATATTTAACACTTAAAATTTAAATTTAAAAACTTTTCAATTTTCCACAAAATGATGTTATTTCACACACACACACAGATAGTTAACAAAACTGACTGCCATTTTTATACAAGTTTTTCCAAGTCTCACAAACTTTCAAACACTCCCTCTCATTCTTGTCATTGCCCAAAGCAGCACCTGTTGGCTTCTAATACTTCCATAGTAAGTCTTCTTACAGTGCTGTAAAACTATTTAAATTTGAAAAATGATAGCTAGTTAAATTTGATAAAGTTCATGCAAATGGCAAACTATCTTCTTCTTTCTCCTTTCTCAAACAAGTGACTCCAAACCCCCTCAAATATTTTAGAAAACAATCAAGACTGTTCATCAAAAACAAACACCAGGAAACAGCAACAAAAAATAAAAGGAGAAAAAAAATAAAGTATTCACAAACTTGCACAAAGTCCTAAAATCTTTGAGTAGCACAATAAAATGCCAAATGGGTGAAGGGTTCAGGATAAAGTTTGGAATAGTTCTTCCTGAGTTGCTGATGATGTGAAATAATACACTTCAGGTATATATGAAGAAAAGGTGTGGCACTGATTAAATTTTTAAAACCATTTCTAACTGTTCTACAAAACATCTCAAATTTTACTAGCAGTAACACTTCATCTTCCCACCATCCACTTGTAACAAGCAGTGGATGCAATGGCAGCTGCTTATGGGCAGAAGAAGAATGAGAAATCAGCAATGTCTAAACAGCAGAAAGTTTACATAGAACAACTTTTCAGAACAATGAGCAAGAAATGTAGACTTCATGGGTTGCGTTTATTGTAACCATTGGCATTCCTTTGCTATTGGCACAAACACCAAGAATTAAAACTGGAAAACAGTGAAAGCTGCTTTCCCTACAGGGTCTCAAATATGTGCTTAGTTTAACGCCACTATGTATATCAAATTTAGTTAGAGTACACTAGCACAGTTTTACGTTTACCAGAGTCTTCTTCAGATTTGGGAGAGGTCACTATGGCAAACTTTGTGTTATAGCGAGCTTTCTGTTTTTCACTAAGCATGTTCCACTGCGATTCGAGCAGTTCTTCAATCTCCTCACTTGAAGCATCTGGATGTTCAGCAACCACCTATACATGCAGAAATAGGGTTGAATTAAAAAAAAAGGTGACCATTGGAAAGAATGGTGTACACACTTCCATCATGTTGGAAAACTGGATACAAACAAGTTATCTAATATTTCTGCTGCAGACAGAACTATAATAAAATCTACAGTACTGTATCCAGTTTTGCTTTGAATAACCACTTCTCTCTCTGTATCTTAAAAAAAATAATTGACTAGCTTATTCAGAAGTATTAAGACTAATTTTGGAAGTATCTATTTGCCTTTTACCATTCAAAAAATGGAGCAAGTATAAATCTTGTCCTGTGGTCATTCAAAAAAATGTGTACTGTTTCTCAATGAAGTTTAAATATATATCCACAAATGACAGGCAAGCAATACTGGAATATATGCTTGCCTAGAAAGAAATCCATCAATTCACAGCAAAACTCATTAATCATAGAACTCAGTACACCTAACTCAGCAGAGAGATTTATACAAGTGAGCATCTGATGCAACATTTTCCTTTATTGATTCATCATTATTTTTGTATTATGCATATGAACACTGGGAACTCACAAGCTGTGCATCTTTTTTTATGTTATAAGCAGGACACATAATACCCAGCAATATGGAGTTTAATAGTTTCTGTAAGTTTATTCAACACGCCCCCCACCCCCCCCAGTATTAAAAAGAAGGAAAAAATCCTCCCAAACTCCTTCAGTATACCCCTATTTCTGCTTAAGGAAAATCAGATTTGACTAATCATACAAAAATCAGATTTGACTAAACAAAAAACTCTATGCTACTCTATAGAAATGAAACAGGATGTTTAAAAACAATCTTTCTCATCTCATTACCCAGCATTCACCAAAATCCTATTTGAGTGATGCAACTGATACCTCAAAAACAGAGAGCAAATTAAAAACTAGGTCAAGAAAGCAAATCATTCAAAGAGTAATAACACTATTCAACAGAACAGAAATACAATTTTTCTGATAAGGTGAAATGATTAAACCTAATTTTTTTTAGAATTTAGGGTTTAAAACTACATTTCCTGCTATCATACAAGATGCAAGTGTGACTGTTGGTTTTCCAGGTGTTAAAATAGTTGCAGTACCTTCCATCTAGTATGGAAATCCATGCTTTAATTTTTCTCCTAGTAGAGTACTAAGAATTGTCTTGTTTCTATCTGGCATGATCCTTCTGCATAAGGCTTGAGGAGTACAACTACCTTCGAAAGCCTCTACTCAAAGTTTGATTAAAATCCAACCACTATTCACATTATTGAAAGGGAGGAACATAAGCACACAAGGATACCTCCTTCCACAAATCTCACTTCTTCAGGATATGCATGAAATTAGCATCAATTTTGACTGTTACAAATGTACAGGTCATTGTGCTCAATGAGGGCACAGAGGCATTTAATTCTCAAAAAACCCCTAGATTTATTAGGACAAATGAGATACACATTACCTCTAGTCTCAACAAAATAAGAATAAAAATAACTTTCAGCTGACTAAGCAGTACTATGAAATGACAAGGAAAAGACACGCAGAATTCTTAATGGTAAAGGGACCCTTGCAAATAAGGCCTCCAAGGAAAATGCTCAGTAGTCTTCTCCAAAGTCTCCCTGTTAGTGAAATTATTCCTTCATTTTCCTCACAACAGACGCAAGGCCCAAATCAATTAATGTAAACAGTGTCACTGTCTTCCTCTCACTTCAATGACACCTTTATCTCCAGTCAGATACTTCCTTCCAATGCTTACTAGGCTTGTATGTTTCACAGGGGAAGCACATAATACAATAGCACACAATACATCTTTACTCCTTTGGTAACAGCACAAAATACTTAATGTGGCACTACAACGACAGAAGTGCTCTAAGCTTTCAGCACCTCCCTCAGGGATGTGGGAAGTATGTCTCTTAAATCATTAAAAGCATTCTCCAGCAGTTAAATAATAATAATAAAATCAAACCAAGATATGAATCTCACTACCACACAAAGCCAGATTCCAAGCAAGACACTGCAGAAATGGCTCTGTTTTTAAGACAGCTCGGTATTATTAGAAGCTCCATAAGAGTAGTCTTCAGTCATCCCTTTTGCTTCCGTCCCTTCCCAAGACTGGGGACAGAGAACCTCTTCTGGGTCTGTAATGTTCCTTTTTTCTAAGCTTCTACATGCTAATAACTAAGAAAGCCATACACTACACTTTCCAATGCCACCAGTACAAGTAGCTCAAAACCAGGTTTCTTTTTCAGCCAACATTATTACTCTTTCTAAAGCATCAGAACAACTGCAACACAACAAAACAAACTCTTGGTAAAAGTCATGTAAGTTGAAATAGATAAGCCTAAGGGAAAGGGACACTCCAAATACTGGACTGGATACAATCTCCACTTTCCACCAATGGCATGAATCTGCCATTTTCAAAGCAACATGCAAGGCAAAAAGAATAAATATCTAAATTGGTGTTTTCTCACTTTGCCAGTCAAATTCCAACCAAGACAAAGGGAAGACAGTTCTTTGGATGATCAGTCAGAGGTATCTGCAGCTTTCACAACCTAGTTCTTTTCTACCCACAGAAGTGTTTCTGTACCTGTTAGAATGGATCACACATTCAGGCAGATTTGGGCTTTCATGACAGATCTCATTAAAAGGTACTCTAGGCAGAAATGGTAGGATGCCCTGTCTCTAAAAATATGCAGTATTTTTAAACTCACTTCCTTAAACTTTGTGCAACATTAGCCACTATCATAAGTGAGAATTTCAAGTTTAAGAAAGTTTCTGTTTCCTGAAATGACACTGAAGACAAAGCATTTCCTCAATTTCATATATTCTAATAGTCTTCATATTTTCCATCTATTAATTTGAGAATGACAGTATAACCACAGTAGGGAACAGAGCCTGATAACTGGCAAAGAAAACAGAAATATCAGAGACTCAGCACATCTCTTCTCTGCAATGTATGTTTGGCTAGGAGTCCATAAAGCCAGCCATCATAACCTCATTTCTTACAGAGAAGCAATTTTATGTCCCTCAATATTGCGAAAGACTTCTTGCTACATACACTGAGGGCTAAGGTAATTCCCTCTTGCAATGTCACTTACAGAAGAACTGTGAATAGAACTCATGTGTCTCTAACATGAGATAGATGATTTACCCATAAAGCTTCTCAAAATTAGTATGTCAAAACTGGTATTTAATGGTCTAGCTACAAAACCATTTTCTTTCCAGAGCCAGAAAACTTCAATGCCAATGCTTTTCTTAATTTAACCAAAGACACTAATAGCTTTATGTAACACTCTGCTCATTTTCATTCTCAATATTAGCTTAGGTTTCAATGATCTAGTAAGATCCCAAGTTGAACCACAACTAATTGACTTCCATACAACAGAATCTGCTTTCCAATATTTCTTTATGAAGTTTACATCTCTTAATTATTTTCTACAAATATGCTAAAATGAAGTCAACCACTCAGTAGCTAAAGAGTATGACCAAGTCACCACTAACTTCCTGATCCTTCTGTGAACAGTATGTAATAGTACAAGAAAATGTGTATCACACTAGCTTCAGATCATGGAATAGCAGTGCAAATGGAGCAAAAGGTTGTAAGGAAGAAAAAATTATAGTCCTGATTTTAAAGTAATGAGCCACACCAGCAGTACTGCTTCTACACTTTAAACAGTCTTTCTAAAAATTCTTGGTAATAAGGTATTTATTTATTCTACCTTGTATTAGAGTATAAGTGCCTCAAGAGGACCTACTTTCTGTCCCAGCAGATCGCACACACTGAGTGATTTTTACAAGCTTTGGTAAGCAGCTTCTTTTGAAGCTCAGCAAAAGGTTCTGGGTAAGTAAATGTGGTTTTGAGGTGTTCCAAGATAAGGGAACACAGAAGCAACTGAGCCATATCCTCAGAAAGAATGCAGAAGCTATCTACAAACAGATTGTCATAAACAGCATAATCTTTGTTATATTTGCCTGAGCATGTACGTATGCATATCTATTATATTGTAAATACATTAAAGACAAAATATGGCTAATACAAAGGACTGTTAGCTTGTGTGGGAAGATACTAACACAACTTTTGCTTCAAATACAAAGGCAGTTATCACCACCTTGTTTATATTGCGCCTTTCCTTTCCTCCTTCCTTTCCCCTTTCCTTTCCTTTCCTTTCCTTCCCCTTTCCCCCTTCCCCTATTTCTGTCTAGAATAAGATTTGATGCAGGCATACCTTGTCAAATCCAGAGTATTATGGATTGTACAATAATAACTTATTTTTGTTTACTAAAGACGTTTCTTTAAGTACAGAAATGAGAAAAGGCAATCAACAATAGTAACAGCTAAAAGAGACTAACCTCATCTCTGTACTTCTGACAAAAGACCAAAAACTGAGATACTGCATCGCCCTTTCTGCTTCGTGGAGTAGATGCTGGAGTTTTCTTTCTATTGAGAGGGGAGCCTATCCCTCTTTTGGATTCTGCCTGTTCAGATGACTTTTGAGGAGTAGTATTCTTATCCTCCAACTGACTGCTCTCTTGCATATCATCAGTGGCAGACAGTTTTGATGTCCTTCTCCTCCTCTTGCTGGGAATGCCAGACTCCTTCATTGATTTCAGATTTGGAGTGGTTTCTTCATTTGAGTAGGATGACTCATCCATCTCCTCCAAGGGTTCCACAGCAATGCCAACCTCCTTTGCCACTCGAGGATTAAGATGAGGTCTGTCCCTGATATAGATGAAGGTGTACTTGGCCTTGCGCTCCTCCACTGTCATGGCCACGGCTTCACTGGCTTGCTTCACACCCATCTCCCACTGCGGCCGCAGCTTCCCTGACACGGGCTTTAGCATCTGCAAGAGGAGACAACCGTGAGAGGAATCTGCCCGCTTGTGATTTCAAAATGCTGACACTAACATAAAACAATCCCAAGAGAGTAACTGTCATGCAGATCTGTAATTCAGAGTTCAAATGGAGCTGTATTTGGTAGTACTAATACCACACATGAATCCATGACAAGACAGAAGAGTACTAATTTTTACTGAGTAACAGTGGTAAATCACCCCATCCTTTGAAGCTGTAAATGAAATGTAAGACTCCAAGCTCCTGTGAAACAAGCAGTCTTTAAATTTTTTATAATACCTACTTATATCTCTTATATCTGTACATACCTGTAATGTTTAAATAAAAAACTCTGAGTCTTGCCTGATTTGGTAACCTCTTACCTTTATTTTCTCTGCTTTAGTGAGGGCTTGTCTTGCGCTCTCTTGGCATAATTGTTCAAACTGATCTTTTTCTTTGAAGGGCACCAGGCTCTTCTCAAATATCCAGGCTCTCTCTGGGGCATCTCCAAAAAACTGAACATGATATTGACGAAAACTCTTTTTCTGTCCTGAAAATTAAAAAAGCACATGTATTTAAGAAGATACAGATTCTGGGAAGTCTCTGCACTTTCAGACCTGAAGTCTGTAAGCTGCTACAGTTGCCATAACAAAAGCACAATAAAACTGGATAACCTTTCAAAAAACCACTTAAACCAGCCTGAAAGTCTCTGAGATATAATGTATGAAGTGTGACCCAAAAGCTCAATAGTTTAATTCCCAGCAAGAACACGCTTGGCTAAATTAAGTCGAGGTTACAATCACCTGTCAGTTTTCCATGTATATTAACTTTACATGTAAGTCTGGGTATTCCTGAAAATGAATTCAGCATTCATTTCTCAGTGAACACTGAGAAAGTTCCATAGCTTGGAGAGCTTGTACACTCAGCCTCCTCTCCGAGTCTCCTAAACTTTATCTTTTAATATTCTTAAACATACTTCAGACACATACTTCATCTGGTTTTAACCCTTGCAATCAAAACTTCCTATTAATCAAGATTTTTCAGGAATCCAAGAAATCAGTCAAGATTTTTCAGGAATCTAAATAATCAAATAAAGGATTTGGCTGGTGGAAGGGAGAGTGGAGTGATAAGAGTACAGTTTTGAAACCTAAATAAGAAACTTTTTTTTTTCCTCTAAAACAAAAAATATTCCCCTTTTTCTCCTAGGAAAACAAGAGGAATATTGTCTCGCTGTGGTACAACCTCTCCCTTTGAAAGGTCTCAGCTATTCCACAGGGAAGGGGGAATAAGCCACTTTCAAAATTCATCAAAGGGTTCATAGTTAGTTAATAATGAATTTCTAAAAGGCCGAGGTACGAGATCACAGATTAAGATGTCCTCTAACACATTGCTCATTAGAACTTGTAGATTTGCTAAGTGTTCAAATTATGGTCTTATTTAAAAATAGAAAATGTTTTAACCCCCATTTCTTGCAATTCAATCCTGCTAGATCCTGCTCCCTAAGTATCTGTGGTTCCCCCAGTGTCACCACACCAGTTTGTCCAACACATAGACTGGACAGCAGAGGAACTCAAGTAAGGATGGACACCCAGTAGGTACAAATAACAGCCACAATTCTCTGTTACAGATGACTTCAAACTAGGTCTAGATTCCAACAGGAAGACACCGCATGTTTTCAGGCGTAGTCACCAAACAGATCTATGAAATTGCTTCATACACTATTTTTGGGATTTCCAGAGCTAGAAAGAACTTTCTTTTCATGGTGATTCAGCCAATGGTTATTTTAATAGGGGAATAATCTCGTTGTAAAATGTTATAACTGGAAGGGTAATATGAAATCAATCTAATTAATGGTATGGGCAAAAATTTTAATATATCCATGTGATGTTTTATAACAATTACAAACTTATGCTATATATAAAAACATCTATGAGAACTACAAGAACAATAATGACTCGTCTGAGATCAGATAGGAGAATCTAGAGGAAGGGCAGAGGCAAAGTCTTGGGATTGTAAACATCACACATCCAATCAGTAGTCTAACATATGTTCCTGTGTTGCACAGTCAGGAACAGTTCTCTTGCACAGTAACTACTTTGTGCTCATCAAGAAAGTGTTTAAGGAGTGACTACAGAGCTCTTATGTGTTAATCTACGACTTAATCTGCCTATTTTACCAGGATGCCCTGGCTACACACAGGGATGCCACAGGCCATGTTTCCAACCACCTGTAAAGAGCTGCCAAGAGCCCATTTTCCAAGCAGCTTTGTGTCTGTGCTCCTTTTGCACTGTAAAGTTGGACAGCTGTAACGAGACTAAATTATAGTGCCTGCCACTGGAGTCACTAAACCTAGTGGGGAATCTTCAGGTATCCTCTCAGAGTTGAATCTGTACCAATGCTCCTGGATAAAATAATGCATTAATTAATGGTTGTTACATAGGGAAACTTATTTTTTGGCCCACAGAATCCTGAAACAACTAGTTGTTGGCAGTTTGGGAGTGTTCTGGGAACCCACCACTTCCCTGTTGCTTCTCTGTATCTGAGCATCTGTGGTTGACCACAGCCAGAGACAGGATATTCAATGAGATGGAGCTTTAGCCAGACTCAGTACAGACTTTCTTACTTTCCCACAAGTTGAAAGTTATTAATTTTTATCAAGCCTAATCAGCTGGAATGATCAAATCAACACACAGAAATTCAGACTGCTTATAAACACTTGATCCTAAGCCTAGAAATGAGAAATACAGAGATGTAGCTCAGTATTTCTACAACTCCCTGATGAAAGACCTTTCCTTTTTGCAAGAACAGACTTATGATAGTGCCTAAATAATAGAGTAGGTGGAAGGTAAGACACACATCAGAGTGCACTTAATAGTCAGGATGGCTGCCCAGACCCTGACTAAACTCCTCAAGGAAATGGCAGGCCCAAACCAACTCCAGAGCAAATATGAGAAATCACCATCATTCCCATTACTTCAAAGAGAGTGAAATTAACATTACAAAGTACATGGGCTCTTCTTTCTGTTAGTGCTTCACAGGCCGCATTCAGACATTTGGTATTGGGTTTTGCTCGGTATGTATCCATAATTTCTGATAAAGATGTACCATGAAGATTCTTGACAATGAACATAAACCTTGCTTCTTTCAAGGAACAGAGTAATTGTAAGGAACAAATAAACAGCTCTACTACTCTCAAAATCCATCTCTTTATGTCATAATAGACCTAGTAATCCAGAGACTAATAATGACAGGGACTGCCTAATCCAAACTCTGAAATCAGACTGCTACAAAGAAAATTTGTCTGAGGAGTCTATAAAACTCATTCCAAAACTGTATTATGAATGCTTGAAAAGGTTCTCAAGAAGCCATTTAGTTTACTACCGATTTTGAATCTAGCTATAATCCTAGAGACAGTAATTCAATTTGTTCCTAAAAACCTCCTATGAATGAGATCAGACCATTTCTCTGGTCAATCCACCCCAATGCTTCACTGCCTTCAGCCCTTCCAGCTCTTTCCTAATGTGTAGTCTAAACATTTATTGATACTAAGCCTCAAAAGTTTCAGGTATCAGAACAGAGAACAAAGGTGAAAATGAGATTAAGAAATTTTACAGATTCCTACCTAAAAATTTCATTAACACTTGGTAGTTCCTGCATTTAAAATCAACCAATAATTGTCTGTAGATATCAGTATTGACTATGAATCAGAGAAAATTTGGTTGCCTGAATTATGGATTGCTTTTAGTAAACTGGAATCATCAGGAATATTTAATTCCCATCAGCTTAAATAAAACTTTTAGCCTGTATCAATTCACCAAGCATCTCCACAGAAACAATGAGAAACACCATCAGGTTTGGTTTTTTCCTTTTTTTTAACAAGACTCCACACAGTTTGACAGATCACAATTTTGGTATCTTTCAGAGAACACTCGAGTTAAAAGACACACTGCTATATGCTCACGAACAGCATTTACATGATTTTAACATTCCTGTTGACAAGTTGCCGATCAACTGCATACATGAAGAACAGAATTTTTCCAAAGGAATCATTTTGTATACCTGAAGGAATCTGAATGACATACCTTTTAGTTTAGTGTAGGCATGGAGAACAGGATCAGCAGAAACCATACATGGCCACCAGGGGAAACCAGACACTTTTGACCACACTAGATCTCCTACATTATACTTCAACAGATGGATTTTTTCCTCTTTGATGGTACTTTGAGTTGCATCTCTCTTAGCAGGAGCCTTAAATTATTAAAAAAAAAAAAAAAAAAGCCAAACTGATCATCATCCTTTTTTAGATATGCACCAGGGGTGATTGAAGGAGGAAAATAAGAAACAGTTCATAAGAATAAAGAGCTGTCATGTTTGCTAGTAAACAACTATTGCATTTCATGTGTAATGAAAACTTTAAGCTTTAAGTCATAGCCTTTGCTCTCTAACAGTGAAAAAATTCCACATTCCAGTTACGGATTTGTTTTTAATTAGAAATATTGGCGAGTAAGCTGTGGTTTCCCTTTATCTTTTCAAATAACTGCTGAGAGACCATCAGGAAGGCTTACTTTGATTCCAAATACATTACCTGAGCACTGGATGTAATTGTGGAAGAGTCAACCTCCCTCTCTAATGAATATTATGAATCAAGTTAAGTGCTATGCACACAAATGTACTATTAGATTTTAAAATAACATCAAAAAAACCAAAACCAAACAAAAACCTCAGATGAGAACAGACTGAAATATTGTCTTTATGTCAGAATAGAAACTACATAAATAACCAGTTCTAAAACCCCAAGCCCTCCATCTTTCAGCTGTTTTTTCACACACTGAGAACTTGTAACATGAACCATTCCCCATATACTTCTGTGAGATTTTTTTTCTGTTCCAGTTCTAGCAATAAAAGTTTGTGAGTGCTCCATTGATGCTCTAAAGCTATTTTAGCTATTGGAAAACAATTACAGAACTATTTCCACTTCAAGGGATAGGTACACGGGTGTTTCATGTTCCCCTACGACAGACGTATTTTTACTACATCATAACAAAATTCAGCAACACAGATATCTATTCACCAACTAAAATTCATTTCAGAATGAACAGAGTTAGCTGCATTTTGTCTTTTTGGATTCATCTGTTCTATTTGATATAAATAGAGTACACCTTTACCTAGGTAAGCACAGAAGGTGTCTCATTACAGACATATCACATATTTTATAAAATCACGTATTTTGAATCTCCTTTTTAACTTTCTAGTACTAAATTTATATGCAACATTCATCATTCATCTTGTATATACCAGCTTATCATTCAGAAGGCAGCTAAAATTAATTAAAAGTGGCAAGAGGAAAGAAGGAAGATAGTTAAGAAAGTAGAAATTAAGAATTTAGAAACAAGTACTTGGAGCATTATGCTGAATCAGAGTAGATCACTTCACCTTGTATAGATTTTCAAATCCAGAAAATACTTCCATAAATAATTACACATTATTTTCCAAACACAGACAACTGAAATCTTTGATGTGCTGCAACTGCATAGAGATTAATTTGCAACTCAAACACAGAGGTACATGCAGTCAAAATCCCTAAAACTCAACATACTCAGAAATCCATTTCTCAAAGCTTTTAAAGCTCTGCTTGGTAAAAATACATGAAGCCATGTCCTCTGATTGCCAGGGACAATTACTCATCCAGTGATTCAGCTTTTCTGATGAATTCAGACCTGGTTCATGTGACTCCAGTTAGAGCTATGTTCCCATGTCTCAAGGTTTTTGGCTCTCTGAGGATTCTCTAAGACTGTCAGAAAATCCTTCCTGTGAATGTGCTCCAAGTCCAGCACTCTCAACAGATCTAAAAGATTCTGAGCAGATGTGAAAAATCAAATGCTCTTTCTAGCAGTTAAACACGATATGTTAAGTTATGATTAAAAGCTTAAAATTAAGAAGCCCATATGACAGGGGCAGGTCTAGAAAAACATTCATCCTAACAAAAACAAACCAACTTCAGCATTCCAACTGAAAAGGTAGGATGAAATTTTTTTTCAATGAGTCAACTCTTCAGAAATGTGAAAGTTGCTGAGCAGTCTGAAACTCATTTTTAATTTATGACTCCCTGTATTCTTCAGAAAGTGCAACTAAGCTACAAAGATTTATGACTCCAGTCTGAGTGGGAGCTGGCTGGAATAATGAAAAGGCTCTAGTACTGCTTCTAACTGCAGCATAATACAAAATGGGTGGCAGAACAGGGGTGAATATTGCATTCCAATCTGGCTGCAAGCACTCCACAAAATTTTAGAAATGCCCAGAATTCTTTTACTATACTAACTGGATGACAATAAAAAACTTGAAAATGACAGGCTCTGACAAAACCTGCAAGGTTTATCTATGGCATACTTATGCTTTTTTTCTATTGATAAAACATTTATACTTTAAAAGAATTGCAAAATACAGCACAGCATTCTATATCCATGGAGTTCTCATATGAGATTTTTAAAAAGTCTATAGAAAATATCACCATTTGCTCACTTCCATCTTACTTTCCCACATCATTCTAGATGAATTTGATTTTCTCATTCCAGGAATTGCTCTGATATATTCAATAGGTTATCTCAATAGTAAACAATGAGGTGCAATTTCTGGCACACACTTTGGACATGCAGCTGTAGGACATCAACAGTTTCTTCAATACTTCCTCTCAGAAACATTTTGCAAACCAAATGCAGTCATATGTATAGATTTTACTTCAGCATCCAGGTAGGATTATTTTAATTATTAATGCAAGGGGAGAAAGAAATAATTTCTAAACAAATTTGCCACCCACTCCCCTCATGGTTATCTCTCTTCTCATACACTGAGGATTGAAGCTTCTTTATGAGATACTTGTATTCTCTGCATTTTTGAAGAATAAGAGATCACTGTCAAGTTACAAATTGGTATAGAAAAAAATGTAATTCGGCTTGCAGTTTCCTTTTTCCTCCCAAAGGAAACAGAAATTGCCGTTTAGGGAAGTCTGAACTCATAACAATATGGGGTCAGACAGCACAGGGCATCCGACTGCACCCATGGAAGATGGAGAGGCAGGACTAGAGGCACAGTCCTGTGGGCTGTGTGAATGCATCAGAGGACAGGGAACACCTCCTCCTGCAAGGCCTGACCAATTCTTCCTGCGATGATACTTAAGCAGACACATTAAGATGGGAGACTCCTGGTTTAGATCACAACAGTAAAGAATGGGAATTCCACAAAAAAAAAAAAAATCAAACTATTTTATAATACCTTCCCCTCAAATTGTGGCTTCTTTGTGTCTTTTTCATGACCTTTCACTTCTTGGAATTGTTCTCATTTATAATTAGATCTCCTAGCCACTAATGTCAATAGGCTTCCTGCGCTGCAGAGGAGCACAGAACACTCTCTGGTTCTATCACTGCTAAGTCTGTATACTTATGCATATACATATACATACTACCCTGCATATGCCCCATCCCATTACCTTTTACTGCAGTTTTGCCAGAATTAAAACCATTTAATTGCAGGATTTCCTCCACCTCTCCTTCCTTAATTACAGGCAAGCTCTGTAGCCTGAGGAACTCCCACTTCAGCCACTGCAGCATCACCTTAGCCCCAAAACTTTAAACCAGTTATGCTAAACAACAGAAGGAAACAGCTTGGGAATCAGATTACTTTTCTACTTTAAGGAATTTGAGGATTTTGTTCCCCTTTCAAACACGAGACTGCAGAGAATTTACATACATGTGCAATGCTGAGGTGAGGACTCCCACACAGACTAATTCTAACACTGAATACACAAGCCATTCCACAGGCTTTGCACTACTCAGTATAGAAGACACAGAAATTCCTGACTTTCTAGTTTATTTTGTCCAGGAGGATGTGGAACATGAAAATGGAGTAATTCCTTTATAGCAACTGAGTTTTTCTTTGAGAAATTATAACTTGAAGAGAAGCAGCATACTCAAAAACTCATCTGGGCCAGAAGCTGCAATAGGCTGAGATGGACTGAAAACCAAAAAATTTAGCATGCCTTTCCTCTTTCCTTAACATATGACAGATTTGTTTGTCATTCCCTCAGCACTTTCACGGGCAATGAGTGACAAGCAGATTGACAGGAATTTACAACACTGCTGACAGCATTCTACCAACCCAAAGAAGTGGCTTGGCTGTAAAAAACACTGGTATTTAATTAACTTTGGCTACATTTGCTCAAAAGAATCCAATCAACTTCCATTTAGTTCTAATCTGCCTAAGGAATATGAGAGAAGAACAGACCATGAGTAATAGGACATTTCAAAGCATAAAAGTATCTTAAAATGACCAAAACCAAACTCATTTAAGGACAGCATCTTTCCTCTATGGAGAGCCTTAGGTTTATTTGTAGACTCTGATATGAAAACATCATGATGAGTGTTTAGTAAACAAGGGAGAAAGGTAATTTATCATAAACACCTAGAAGGCTTATTAGGTTGTGTCAGATTGAGATTACTTTATCCATTTTAAAAGTACTCAGTATTTTGTGTGTCTTTCAGCTATTTTGTGTGTATACTCTCATGTGCACACATATGCAAGGAATTACTATAACCCTTCAAAATTATTGCAAATTACCTTGAGCATCTAACTACTACTTCACTACATAAACTTGAAAAGCTACAGAAATCATGAAAAAACCTTTCTCTGCTAATTATCACAAAGGGATTATACAAAGAACAATGCTGAGAACTGGTCAAGTGTACATCACAAGAATTTAATATGGACAAAAAAGTATGAACAATTAAGATAAGTGAAGACAGTAAATGTTCTTTTCTGTGTAATGTAACTAGGAAGTACATATTGGAACAGTTTAAGCTGCAGATACCTGGTATTTCCATTTTCATTTTCAATTCAGTTTCACTCTGTACCAAACAACTTCCACTTTCACTATATCAGAAGGCCCTGCTACAAACACAGACTGCTGGAGGCCCAGTTACAGGCCAGGATAAAAACAAAGCTCCTCACATTACAAAGAAACTAAACCAAAATAATTAAGGCCCCTAAACAGAATATATGCAATTAAAATGTATTTTGAATTGAAGCTAGAACACACAAACTCAGTCAAACCTGTTTCTTTCCTATGGAAAAAGATATGATTTCTTATGGAAAAATCTAAGATTGGTTGCTGACCAAACCCACATTATTTTTCTCTTCCTGCTATCTACTTGTGCTGTGCTTCGTCAACTACAACTCCTATTGTCTCTCATGGACCT